TAGTGTTGTAACCTAAAAACGAAAAATAAGTCTAGACATTGTGTATTGATAATGTTCTAAGCGATGTGAAATTCTCAAAGATGCAACAGATTCTTTTTATCTACAAAATATGGAGTTTTGTGCGAAACTCTAGAAAATTCTAGCAAAATCCTGAGGAGAAGGAAATTTCCGAAGGTCCCTAAAGTACTTCTCACCATGAATGCTTTGGAGAAACCCTCGCCCCTCTGTACTACGGAGAAGGTATAGCGAACCTATTTGAAGAGGTTTATAGTCTCGAGTCACGGCACAGCGCGAACTACATAGCAGTTCAGGACATTCGAGGCACGACATTGTGCCAGGATGAATGGAATACGTCCTGCTGCAAATCCTGGACAGGAAGGGCTTACCACGCGTTTTGTGAAACACTGGGCGGGACCATTTGGTCGCTCAGATGAAGGGGGTCATTTTTGTTGTGACAGAATTTTCTAATTGTTTATTTCTTCCGTCTCACGCGTGCAATATATTACCCTAGATGGTCGCAGCGCAGATCTACCACTTCTGAGCAGTTGAGCGGAGATCTCTATCCCCTCCCTCTCCACGCAACACTCGACAGCAAAATTTCGGGAAAAGTTGAATGGTAGGTATGGTGGGAGGGGAGGCTTGCCAAATTAGAAACTTTCAAAGGGCGCGCATCCTACAAAGATTTGCCACAGAGTGCGCAGGTGACCCCGCTGCAATGCTTCTTCACCGCCCTTACCGCTCTCGAGGCTAATTCTAGTTTTTTGGTTTCATAAGGCTAGTATGTCGCACCTTGTCTGACGATTCTTGGAATGACATCGTCGGCGAACGCTCGATAGGTGTTCACCTTTCCTTCAGGACTACTGATTCCTACATGAGCCTCGTAGATACGCAACGATGCCGGTCGTTTTGGTCGTGGATGTACGAACTGGTACTTGTTTGGGGGATTGTAGAACTGCTGAAAATGATGTAAAATTAGAGACTCGCCATCACTCAACGCCTTCCTGTACCCATGTGATTAATCTAAGTACATAAGCTGCTAATTCAAAGCCATCGTTTATCACAGCGCGCTTTCAGATAGGTGGAAAAGAAGAAAAGAAGAAAGAGAAAGAAAAGAGAAAGTTAAACTGCAGTGAGGTGGCTTTCCCTGACCGACATGTTTGAGTCTAAATGGTGGGTGAAAGCAAGCGACGTTTGGCTTATGAAAGCAAGGGCGTTCGACTCAATCAGAGCACAATTCCGCGACACAAGCCCTAGGATGGCGCAGGCCAAAACGAAGTGAACCCTTGAGTGAAAGGTGATTCAACCGCTAACAGTGAAAGCTGTAAAAAAATCATCAAAACCCCCAGATCCGTCGCTCCTTCTCACAGTCGATTCCCAGCAAGCTGAATAAGAATGCGAAAAGGAAGAGACAATTTTAGGCGCAGGATAGAGACCCAGACAAGCAAGGCGCCGGGAGAGTCTTCGCGCCTACATTATCAGTGTAGGACCAGAACTCGTTCTAAAAAACGCGCGATCACGCTCCAACCACGAGCCGTCTGAGACGTCCTTATTACGCATTTCAAACAGGCATTTGTGCCGTTGTAGCAGCGGTACCAGGTGAAACCGTCCACGGAGCGAGGGCGTCTCCCATAAGGTACTCACAGAATTAGCCTCCAATAGAGGAATAAAGGATAAAGGATAAAGTCTTCGCCGTTGATCAATCCCTTTGTGGGATGCGGCACGCATTCTACTTCCATTCAGAATCGTAGTGGCTTATTGAATGCGATGTGGCCTATACAATGACTTGCGGTGGCCAGCCGATGTACAAGTCAGTGTTTTATCCTCCCAGACGAATCTGGGTTACAATTTTACTCACCGGAGGCATAGAAGGCTTGGTTGGCCTCGGCATTCGAAACCCGAACGCGCGAGTGCTTGGTGAACGCTCCATTTGTCACTACATCACCACAGCTCAATAGACGAATAGAAGTAGAAAAAAAGAGAGATCTGTCTATCGAAAGGTCACAAGCAGGAGCAGCAGTCAGATGAAAGACACTACGCGAACAGCTGAAGGCGCGTCAGCTGGAAAGCAAATTCAAAATGAAATACTATAGTGGGAAAGCAGAAAACGATCCCTTTTGTCCTGCTGAAACCCTCATAGGTGCAGAACACTGATCGTTTTTCAAAGAGAGACACTAATTCAAATTGCCTCACCTGATGATAAACAACGGTGTCTTTCGGTCGAGTGACATAAGCAGCCCATGGACTGAGTTTGTCCAAAGTTTTACCATCCTTTGTAACAGCGATCTGTAAGAATTCTTCTCAATTGAGAACCCGGACAAACGAAGGAAAGTAAAAGCTCAAAACTAGTCTCTACTAAAGGCACAGCCCATTCCGGATAGGAGCGAGAAGATATGAAAATATTTGAATGCCTAGTCGCGGATCTTGACTATTTGCGTGACCGCGTACTCAATTCGTGCTCCAACCCTGCCGCTAGCAACGTTCAAGCGAACACTGTCCAGCGTGGACGCTGTGTTCGGGAAGAAGGACAAGAAATCCAAACCTGCCGCGAGGTCGTGTGCGGCTCAGCGGCAAACTCGCAATGTGCATTAGTTAATCTACAGAATCAGTTAAATCCATGCTGAATTTTATAGATCTTTTCAGCCCCTTCATCACGTGGAACTGAACAGCCAGGCAAGGCTACTCGTCCAACGGGCGCGACGTCGCTCGCCACGCCCACCATTAAGGTATGCTACGATTGTCTTGCCACATATCCCTGTCTTTTGATCCAACAAATCTTTTTAAGATTTGTATACTCGACGCTTGGAATATACAAATGGGCCGAATGGGCTTTTCAGCAGTCATAGGCCCGTTGACAAAAAAAAACTTCGTAAACTAGTACCTTGACAATGGATCCGTGCGGAATTGCGCACGATCCGTCAGGATTTGGAGGAATGACCAGGCGCCATTTACCGAACTCTTCACGCTTATACTTGTGCGTTTCACGATTCCAACCGTCTGGAAAATTTTAGGGATATTATACCTAAACACCTCAATAAATTGGAAGAAATGCGATAGCAGGAGCACTCTAAAATCAGCTGCAGTATCGACCGCGTCCACCTCTTATATCATGCTTCAATCAGTTTGAGAAGTAACGTTTTTAACTCACTAAAATCGCCAATGAGGGTCAGCTGATCCGCTCCTGGTGCCCATTCATGACAAAGAACGGAGTTATCCGGTTGCACCAGCAGACCGAAATGCTTATACCGAAGTGCTTGTAGCCTTGAGTGAAATGCTCCATTCCTCCGCACTAAATGAAAAAAATGGAAATTCATCATGATTCAGACATACATTGTTCCTTCAGGTGATTTTCATCCACAGAGAATCCTGCATAAGAAAATAAGGTGAAAATATCAGTTCTCAGTGGAAAGTATCCAATGGTGTAGTTGAGCACAGAAAAAAATCCAGTATAAACAATGAATAAATAAGTAAAGTAAAAACGGACGTCTTCAATTCTCTTCTGCAAGTTCAGCAAGACTCCATATCTGCGGCAGATCTCATGTTGAAAATCGTTCAACCAAGAATCCATTCTAAGGAGATTATCGAGCTGTGGAGGACGAGCCATGGTTGAATCACTAGAAATGCCTACTCATTCCAAGAAATACTATACTACAGCGTAAACAAGACGATATATGAACAACATAGGCCGAGAACCCGACGTGAGACGAAAAAGGCTAAAAACTTCGGAAAGGACTTGAGAGGGCGCTGAAAAAGGAAATAGTGGTGTAGCGTGAAAATCATGTTGAAGTTATGACATCGCCCTGCCCTTGGAAAAAATTCTGCCTATTACGACCCCACCCCCACAATGTCCTCCTCTGATGCGACCCTCCTCTCCCCATCTCTCATTCTACTAACCGTCTCTCCAGATTTTCTCATCTTCCCATTCCTACCACTTTTTTGGACTTTTTATCCAATACCCCACTTTTTCCCCTTGAAAACTGTCGCCGCGGAACGTAGGGGGTGGAGAGGGCAAGCAAATAGCGCACTCACAGGAAAAAGCGAGAAAGTTAACAACAATCGAGAACATTTCATACGAAGGTGAATACAACCCCCTCCCGTTAGCGACCGAATACGCCTACCCTTTGCCCCTTTGCTGGGAATCTCCAATTTACATTCATCTTAAATCCTATCGATTTCCGAGTCCAGTGGGGAACTATCAGCTCTGACACTATCCATATTTCGGAGTAAAGTATCGATATAAGTGAAAAGTTA